GGAAGTCCCGGAGGTGGAAGCTAACACCCTAAAGTCACTGTCAGAAACAGGGACATCACACTGCTCGGCGTGAGCGCGCACAGCCGAATAAGGTGGGCGCGATAGCAACTGTCCGGTTCTACAACTCCTGCCCTTATGCTCAGAGACCCTGGAATAAAGATTACTGTTTTCGTTTTTTATAAAGATATGAATTTTTGTGAACCTTTCTTTGCTTTTAAATTCTTTGCGATTTAAGCAATTTGCGATTTAAGCAAACAAGTGATATAAATTAATTAATTTCTGTTAATTAATTCTGATTATTGTTAATTAATTAATTCTGAAAACATATCTGAGGAGCGAGTTCATGATCTTGCCAGGTGTGCGAGACTCTCTAAGTTCGCTTGTCACCAATGTGGTTCTTAGAAAATACGGTCGCACAAATTGGAAGTCGCTGAACTGCCGTGGTATTAGACATTTGGGGCAAATTTTGTACCGAAAAAGAATCAACACAATCGATTGGATACAATTGCTCTTATCCGATCAACTGCAGAATCTAAAGCAGGGATTTTGAAGATTTTGTGAAATAATAGGAGACAACAGCGGGACCAAACTGTTATATTCTACGATACGCGTGAGCGATAAATTTTTATCTAAATTGAGTAATTTTTTACCTTCTTTTCTTGCATTAAACAAACAACGTAGTCTACAGGTAATTGTATACACACAATAATAGCAATAATAATTCTTCTAGCGCGGTGTTTGTATATATCAAATAGATATTAGGCGTAAAAATACCATGTCAAAAAGTATTTAAATGAACATATTTTTCTTTCTCTTGATATTTTTGTTAATTTTCTTCATTTATTTATTTCTGAAGTGTTCTTTAGGTGTTATAAAATTATTTAAATTATTTTATAAGGAATATTATTTATTTAGTATTATAATGGTGATCCATATGACTTTGAAATGAAAGAATAGAAAAATATAAACTTGTGGTAAATGTATCGGGATTTATCCATGCAGCTATCGAAATATGCCACGCCAATTCAAGTTATTTATTGAGATTCAAATTTCTTCCGAATACGAATATTTTTTCATTAGCTGACGGCCAGATATCAGCCAGAAGTGAAATTTCATTTAAAATAAAGTCTGAGTTTAAAGAATTCACCTGAATGTATATCCTCAATTATAATGTGAGAATTATTATTTATCAATCATTCATTAACAGATATTTTACTATATAAAGACAACATTCTCTCACGTCCAAGTGACAGTAAATCACGTATATAGCGTAGTTGTTTTACATAAAATTTCAGGCGAGGAACTTCACTACATGAACGTTGCCTCACAGTAGCAATCTTTTCCTGGTAAATGAAGAACGTGTGGTTGGGTCCACAATGTACGCCGCATTTCTTTATAAATATTCGCATGACGCAGCACAAGCAGCCACATAGGTGTTTTTTAAGGAAGCTAGTGGGTCATTTGCTCAAGTTCGAAATTAGCCATTTTAAAGGGTGCGTGTAGAAGCGCGTCTCTCACCCTCCTCGCAAAAGAGCTTTTCAGAGGCAATTTTGTAGCATCTCTCCTCAGATGAGATGCAATATCGTGTCCCGGAACTCTCACAAGCGCCACTACTGTTCAAAATTGCAAAAGAATTCCAGTCTTCCGGTCATGTGGAAGAAAATAAGAATCCGAGAATTTGTCCAATTGCACAAGATGTCGTTTGCAAAAACCGATGGAAGACAGTTTGAAAGTTAGAGCTCTCGCGTAGCATGAACTTCCTCTAACAAAAAATAATCGATGAAAGGTGAGCAATAACATTTTAGGAAATAAATTAAAATGGAATTGGTTGGTACCATTCATAACGCAGAAATTTGCGTTACGTCGAAATGATTCAAGTTTAACATTTTTATTACTTGAGAATGTAACAGAAAATCTTCTTATGATGAAATTTCTATGTTGTACTAGACATTTTGAAAACCATATGATAACCGCACCATATTTATGATGGTGCTCACAGAGAAGCATTTAAATGGCCGATCTAAGGAGAATGTTGAACACACCAATTTAAGCTAAATTAATGTTTGAACCATTTTAAAATGTTTGATTTCATCTCCCAAGATCATCTATTTTAATTGGCAGAAGATCAATTGATATTGCAATGAAAAAATTTGTGTAGTCATAAAAGTATTTTTGCCAGATTGTTTTGATTGTGAAAGCGATTTAAATAAACTAATTAAGCCCAGGGTTGTATGTAAGTTAAATTTTATTTTCTGCTAAGATCTTATGCCCAAAATGAAGGGAAATATTTTCTTAATTTTAAATAAATTTTTTTAATTTAAAGCGTCACAAATTTGAAAGGCAATTTCGTTTAAATTATAGGTCTATAGTGCACAAACAGAAAAATCGCTTATTTAATCACTAAATATCTCAATTTTATGTAAAAGTGCGGATTCAAACAGTTATAAAGATGAGGGTTGCCGACAGCGTTGCAGGCTAGGATGCTCGGTATCACACTTGAAAGCATCGTTGGGGAATATTAGTTACCTTTACGACGCCAAGCGGCCATCAGAAAAAAATTCGGCTGCAGATATTGGGCTAAGAAATCTATTAAAGTAGCCATCCTGAGAAAATCCAAAGAGCTGTGCTCGAAGGTTGCTACTGTTTGCTCAGGATTAGCGCGGTTATCAAAAGAGAGTAGCTTTTGGCGAAATATCTGAGGAAATCTTATACGTAACTGCCTTCGTTAGCGTCGGTCTTGCGACACTATGAGGTAAAAATTTACAAAAAATCCGGTCTCCAGTTCAGCAAGGCCATCAGTACAAATCTTTTCAATATATTCTTTTTAGTGTGAGGCATGGCTTCCGAAACAGTATATAAAAGATGTTTGCCAGCGATATTCTCATACCATATAGGTAAAAAAAAACTATAAAAATTAGTCAAGAATGACTATGCAGTGAAGCGCCCAAGTTCATTGCCAGTTCGTAGCAAAATCTGTGCCTCGAAGAATTGTTTTTATCTATAACAAGTGATTGGATAAAAAATTTACTGTTCATCGAATTCATTTCGCGTTTCCAGGTCGACAAATGTACCTCAATAACGACTCCTTCGTCGACCACTCAACGGATTGCTTACAAGGAGCGGGTAGTTCTCTCCTGTACGGCTTGAAAACATGAACTGAAAAGAAAAGAAGATCATTGTAAGAGCTTCTGATTCTTTGAGAAACGCTAATGTTTTATTTCACTCTGACCCTCTCAAGACTGACAGGATCAACCGTTATAATAACGTTTTAGAACATAATTTAAAAATTGCAAAAGGGTTTACTATAAACGCACATAGATACTATTCACGATGTCAATTAGACATGCAAAGTTGTCCGACATATTATGACATTAGACAAAAATCTTGAGCAACGATGAAAACTTTAATTTTATAATCCCTGTGGATTCAGCGCATTTCTCACCGATGAGAGGTTCACAATTGAGGCAAAATAATAAGCAAGGCCGGCAAATATGGGCTGTAAACACAGGTTGTGTGGCTGCCTGCCCTCTGACGAGCAACAGCACGCGAGGGCAACTGCAGCTTGACATGCTCGGCTCTCCTACGAGAAAAAACTTACGATCATTGCGCTGGTGGTAGTTGCGCTTTAGACTATCACCTTTACTGGAAAATTCAACGTGGGAAATAAATTAATTTAAGATGATTGCGTGAATTTTCATTCAAATTTGCTATAAAATTTTTTAGGAAAATATATACCCCTAAACAGATGGATACCCTAGATCTCAGCACGAATGATTAGTAAAATTGCGCAATTCCTTCGGCCAACGAAATAGAATTGGATTATTACTCAGAAGAGAAGTTTGAATGCTTCATCGAGGCACGCATTTGTTTGAATTTGGTGGCCTTTTTTGCATTGCCACGTGCGGCAAAATACGTGAAGTCTCTGTGACCCGCTGCTTATCATATACCAGCAGGGCTGCAACATAAATCCAGAAGTTGCTGAAACTCAAAATTTAACAAGTTGCGAGAGTCAAATTTTTAGACCCAAAGTTTCCGCCTGGGCTGCTGGCAGGAGCAGAAAGCTCGCATGAAGTTAACAATATCGCGCCTACGGCGTGACCAAGCAAATATTATATATTTCTATTATTTAATTATTCTGGATTACTGTTGCTGGCTTATTTTCGGAGGAACTATGGCGAAAGCTCGCACGCAGTAATTATTTCATAAGATGTACTTTCTATCGCACTTGTTAACAGCGGGATTTCAGTGTGGCAAAGAGCAGCAATATTCCAGCAATAAGTCGCTGTTTTGATTCTGAGAATTATGAGGTTTTAAGGTTCGGTGACAGATCAGCAGGCTCCTTATATAATCTCACCGCTATAATTAATGGACCATATGCATTTTTTATCATTGTCATTATTATTATGAATGTTACTATCATTGATATTATTATTGTTATGATTACTGTTAGTGTTAATATTATTGATATTAATATTATTAAAACAATTATGCTACCTTAAATAATTTTTCACGGCACCTCAATTAAATAAATGGTGAGCAATGCTTAGAAGCAACTGGCAGGTCCCCAGCTGGATGCATGAGATGCATTGCCTGCAGGGGCGTTCTAAGTGACAACCTGGGGGCAATAATTCATTCTTGTGATGTCGTCAGCCACAACACCGCTGCCCCACCGAGCACGCACCGAGCCCGCTCGTCCTCCTACGCCTGACGATGAGTGACAGCCCCTCTCGTCCTCCTACGCCTGACGATGAGTGACAGCCCCTCTCGTCCTCCTACGCCTGACGATGAG